ATTTTCCAATAGATGATATTTTAAGCTAGACATTCATGAACGCAAAATGACTTAACTGGAAATGAAAAGTTGAGGGAGAGGATAAAGAGAAGACACAAAACCACCAAAATATGAATCCAGCTTTTATTCCAGGAGACAATTCTTACTATGAAAATGAAATCTACGGTACATAAAAAGTGACAAGTTATGTACTTATGCAGGTAGAATGGAAGTAATTAAAAAACATTGCTTATATTTCACACTAAAAACACTTGACACAAGAGGGATTGTTTTGTTTTGATTTTTTTTTTTTTTTGGTACTGAGGATCCAACTCATGACCTCACTCTTGCCAGGCAGGTGCTGTGGCACTGAGCTATATCCTTGGCCCCTCAAATGTTTTTTTAAAGGTATGTAACTTTAAAAATTTGTTTTTTCTCTGTACTGTAAATTTTTAAATTTCAAGAAAACCTATAATTGATCAAAAACAAGCAAGCATTAATAATTTAAACTCAAGAATCATTTTTCTTAATGAGATTTCTTTCTTTCTTTTTTTTTTTTTTTTTTTTTTTTTTTGTCTTTTTCATTTTTATCGGTACCGGGTATCGAACTCACGACCGCCTGCTTGCAAGGCAGGTGCTTATGCCGCTGAGCTAAATCCCCAGCCCCATGAGATTTCTTTCAAAGATAAGCATAATTTCACCAAAACAGTATTACCTTTTTTTTAATCTAGGTGGTATTCCAAGAGTCACTTCTCTTAATACAAATTTTTAAAATTTAAGACCCATTATCAGCCTCATCCAATTTTCTTTCTTCTCTATAATGAATGACATAGTATTTGTAAAAATATAAAGTCTAAATTCAAAAGAAAAGGTTTGAATCAAGTAGACTGAACTATCAAGTCCACTGAGAAAGTTTACTTATAATAACTGTGATCTGAAGTGTAACCGTGTATCTGAAGATACAAAATCAAGCGAACGCAGAAAAAAAAAGTCCCTTCCTCATACCACTCACAAAAGTAAATTCTAACAAAACCTAAGATCTAACTGTTAAAAAATTCAAACTGTTAGAAAAGCCTTTCACTTCTGGTAATGATATACTAGACAATGCAGGCCACTCTCTTGCTGAAAGAACTAAAACGTCTGGACAAAATATATTTAAAAGTCCATCTGAAGACTAATAAAGATACAAAGGCAGTGTCTTTTGTCTGGAGTCAAGATCTGAGAAAAGAAAACCTAAGAGGCAAGCCTAACAACAAGGGCCACTTTTTTCAAGGTATCTAAAAATTATGGAATAAAGATCAAGAGGCTTAGCAGAGCAAGCTTTTGAATGTCTCACAAAACAAAGAGGACAAAGACTGGAAATCAAAACCTGCCAAGAAATTGAATACCATAACATTAAAGGAGTATACCCTATAATGGGAGATCAAAGCCCAAATCCAAGTTGTCAGTATCTCTGATTAGATTAAGGGGGTCTACAGATTGTTAGCTCTAGCCAGTAGGTAGAAGCAGAATGGAAGAAGGTGTTATCATTTGGCCCAAATAATCTCTGCTATATTTTATATAATAGCATTCTTTCAAAGATACTCAGGCAAAAAGAAACAAATATGAAAACCAAGATAAGTAACAGAAACAGACCCACAAGAAACTAAGAAAATGAAGTTTTCAGACAAATTACAGACTATAGTAGGTTCTATGAAATAAAGGACAAGATTTTTAATTTTTATAGAGTTGGAGACTTTTAAAAATAATTAAATGAAAATTATAGAATCTAAAAGCCAAACTAAAATTTAAAATATAGTGGGTGATTTACAGCAGATCACATACAAGAAAAGAAAGAATTTGTGCACTAGATGTGTTAGAAAAAATTACACAGAGGAAAAAGAAAACTAAAAATGTACATAATGAAAGAAAAGAAGAAAAACTAAAAGTATATAATTAGAAACCCAGAAAAATCATGAGAATAGGTCAAAAGTACTTTAAAAGTGATAAAAACTGAATTTTCTAAAACTAAGGATAAATATCAAGATACAGAAACAAGATGTAATAAGAATGCCACAAGGATAAATACCAAGAAAAAAGTACAAGTAAGTACATCAAAGTAAAGAGTTGAAACCCAAAAATAAAAATGTTAAAAGCAAATAGAAAAAAACTATGATAAATTACCATCAACAAAGCAACAGCAAGAAATATCAGTAAAGACAATGGGAAACTACATGATTACGAAATAAATATTTTAAATACTAAATTCAACCGCTAATCTGAAATTCTTTAAAGGGCCATTATATAGCTTAAAAATGCAGCGAAATACATTTTCATCCAAAAATTAGACCTTTTCATCACTTTATCCATATATGAGAAAATACACATAGAAGTTCTAAAGGCAACATGGAAATGTAAAAAGGAATAAAGAGCAATAAAATGCACAAATATACTACACGGATAAATACAAACAATAAAACAGTCACAATTCCTTGTACTATTTTTAAAGTACACACTGAAGAATAAAGCACACAGCAAAAAGCAAAAGAGCACATAAGCACTGAAAGCTAGGAAAAGATTTATTGTTTTGTGACAATTCAACAACTCTGAGAGTGAATTTTATACCTGTTTAATAAATAAATGGCAACTGTTTTACTAGTCATACTTTCAAAAGCTAGCAAATCAGTAACAGCCATGCCTCTGAAATTTAGACGATGAAGATTTAGACAATGAACATTCCCATAAAATGACAAAATATTTACAACGGTTAGGTATTTAAAAACAAAAAAAAAAAGATGATACATATTCTTGAGAACTTGTTTGGAGTTTTAGTAGGGGAGTGCAGCTACTCACATACCCTTAACCAAGGAAACAAGTCTTCTTCTATGGAGGGGAGGGGGAACAGTCATCCTTTTCCACTGACCCGGCCAGCTTCTGGAGGAATGCACATGGGGCACTGAGGGAAGAAGGGGACCCCTCCTGGCTAGCTAGATGCGCTAAATCGACCACGTTAATCAATAGGATGACAGTCGTCTCAGCCAGATTGCCCTCACATCCAATACATACCCTTATATTGCTAACTTTAACAATACTGGTACTCATAAGAGCACGGACAAATAATGAAAAAGGTCTTCCTGATGGAAAAGGAAGATATTAATGCTCTTGAGATCTGATAGGTACTGTCATCAAGATGACAGATTATAAACTTTGGTTCCTGGCCATTCCCTGTGTAGCTCTGGATATTTTTTCATACATGATAATTAGATTTTTCCCATGCCATCCCAGAAACAAGGACAATTGTTATGTGACAACAATTAGACTTGCATAAATATACTACATGGATAAATATAAACAATAACTATAAAACTGTCACATATTTATCCATGTGCAAATATATAAACTCCTCAACATGCTTAGTGCACTGTTTTTTAACAGAATATGAAAGGGTAAAATCTTTCTTGTGATAACTGATGAAGGCAATTTCTGAAAATAACGATCACAAACACATCAATCTTTAAGAACTACATGATACTTTCACAGTTTCTTATTAATGGCAACAAGAAGTGAACTTCTTGGATTAAAGACTTCCTCCACATTCAAAAGAGTAGCATTAACACTTAAAAACGATAAAAAGAAATATTTCAACTGTTTCATTTCTCCTGCTTTTACTTCATATTCCAGTTGATAATCGTAAACACCAAATTCATTGAATTTAGCCCTGAAATGGTTTGAAAATAGTTTTCTAACTAGCATATAATTATTTTCAACTAAAGCACTGTTCTGCCACTTCAGTCATCTTATTTATATAAATGCTAGTTAAGCACCACAGAAATTCTAAAATATGTAATTAGAATGTCACAGATCACTTAATCCATTCTGTCAAAACAGGGATTATTTTAACTTCTGTTTCACATCCTTTACAAAGAAATCCTATTTACTTTAATTTCTCTAACAGACAAAAAAATTAGTAGGATAAATTTACAATATATTTCCCCAAACTTTCAAATGATTCTGGTTAACCACAATTTGACTCAAGAAGTTTAGTACTTTTTTCTGAATGTATTTTACTAAAATATGTCTGACAACATATAATAATGTCATATAGTAGTTGAATTATTGTTCTGCAGAGTTACAAATTACTCCATTATCCTGGCCACTCACATACAAAAAGGTCACTATAGTCCTAAGAAATTATCCAAATAAAGCATATGTACTGCTACCCTATGTAAAATATTTCTAAATACTATACCCCACTTACTTAAGGTTAATACATAACCATAAAAGCTTTTATTAAGTAACTCATCACACATCACTGATTTCACAAAAATAAAAACATAATCTAGCTCTACCAATTTTAAATATCTGGATATTTGTGAAAATAAATGCAAAATATTGCTTGTTTTGTTTTGTTTTGTTTTTGTGGTACTGAAGATTGAATCTAAGACTTTCATACTAAACTACAACCCCAGGGCTTTTTACATTTTTATTTAGAGAGAGGCTCTTGCTAAATCACTAAACTGCTCAGATTGGGCTCCAACTTGCAATCTCTTGTCTCACATTCCCAAATTGCTGAAATTACAAGCATGTCACATATGCCAGCTCAGCTGTTTTTAAATATTCACAAACATGTAATTTCTTTAATTATGTACCAGCTGTTAATTATAAGGGAAAAAATTACAATAAGGAACTATCATAAATATTATGATCTTGAAAAATAAAACTCTAGCCATACTTTATTAAGCTCACATTAATAACACACACACATACACACACACACTGATTCAAATGACATGAAAATTATTATGGTAGTTCCTCAGTGACTTACTAAAAATTATTCTAATAAATAAACAATCATACGATTCTTAAATTTGCCACAGACAGATATGTAGCTGGTTCTCATTCCTCATTCTAGATCTCTTTAACCACTTAAAAGCTTTTCTTTTTCACACTGGTATTTTATTTGTAACAAAACATTACCTAGTCAGATTCTAAAACAGGAATCTTTAGAAATGAGATTAGCAAAACAATTTTAAAATACTTACTGTCTTGTTTCGTAATCTAATTATGTCTGAGACAGAACCAGCTCCACAGTACTCCATAACAATCCAGAGGTCTGTGTTCTTAAAGTAACTGCCATAGTACTTTACAACATATGGGCTAAAGAAACATAAAACAATTACATTTAGTAAATTCCCAAAGAACACTTTTTCGTAATCCCAATAGAAAGTATTTTCAACATTTCATATGTTCCAATAAGTAAACTTAACCTCTATTATACACTGAATTGTCTGTATCCAGAGTTCACCAACTGTATATAATTAGGCTTTAATTCATGGATGAAATTTAACAGGATTAAAAACCAGAGGAGACCCAAATGTTTTGAGTGATTCCCAAAGAAAATAATGCTTCATTTTGGCAAAGGACTTACTACTTAACATAAGGAACAAATGAAAATATTTTCCTTTAATAAGAACATTTAAACATAAATCTAGGATTTGCAGTTAAATACTAATACTCAACTTTAAAACACAGTTATCAATATATAATGGATATAAAACAATTCAAATTTAAAATCATGTATTTATACACACACATCATATATATTTAGATATACACCATCAAAAAGAGAAGGTCAAGAGAAGAATGTCAGGGAAGAACTTCCAGTAGAGCCTGTACAATTTTAGCCAAGTCTTAAAATCAAAAGTAAAGAAGGTTGGATGCAGCTGAACTAAACTACTAGACCAGAATTTAATTTTATCTTATACCTACTGTTCCTCATAACCAATTGCACATTCTTGCTTCCCACTGACATAATTTTCTCTCCCATTCTAATCTATGCCCTGTACAGTTTCAGGTTACTTTCTTTAAAGCAGAAGAAAAATAAGCTGATCACAATACTGTCCTGATTTTAAAAACTCCAATCGCTCTCAATTATCCAAAGACAAAAGTCTGTATCGCTTCATATCATATTTGAAATCTTTTAAAGGCTCCTTCTTTATCTGTGTCTCTTATACTTTCTATCTTACATCATACATTTCCAAACATACTCAGCTTTTTCTAGGTGTTAGGACATAATAGGAATTTAAAATTTTTCACTTGAGGCAGGCATGGTGATGCACGTCTGTAATCCCAGCACTCAGAAGGCCGAGGCAGGAGAATCACTAAGAGTTCAAGACGAGCTTGAACTACAAAGTGAGTTCAAGGGCAGCCTGAACTGCATAATGAGAAACACTGTCTCAACAAGACAAAAAAAAAATTCACTTGAGCTATTTAACAAAAGTATTATTTAAAACAAATGAAACTAACACACAGACTGAGAACTTCAAAGCACAGGAAACACTAAAGTGTTTTTTTACACACATGTCTTTGAGGTATAAGTACTTGTATAGAAATATATAGTAGGAAGTAGTGCTCTTACACCTGCCAAAACCTGTGACAAGTCCAACATCTATAAGTTCTTACGCAGTAGGTCTTTTCAAAGCTTTACAGGTGACTGAAATAGATCCAAAGTAGAGCTTCACTTCAGAAGACAGCCTGCATATCATTCAGAAAAAAATCTTTATATATTATCTTATTGATCAGAATTTTAAAGCAGTGAAATCAAGACTATCTTTACTGAGAAGCATATAAATAATGAGTATCTTATCTTGCCATTTACACCAAGAAATTAATACTGCTAAGGGTAGGATGGCAACTTTTATAAAAACAAAGAACATGTCCTCTTAGAAATGGGTCAAAAGCCAGGCATAGTGGAGCGTAGCTATAATCCTAGCACTTGGGAAGTTGAGGCGAGAGTATCACTTTGAGTTCCAGGCCAGCCAGCCTAAACTACACAGTGAGTTCAAGGCCTGCTTGAACTACATAGTAAGACCCTGTTAAAAAAAAAAAAAAGAATAAAAATAATGCTGAAAAGATTATAAATGATCCATATTAGTGTACAATCAAATACAGAAATCATGTTTCAACAATTCTACATCATAAAATATGCACTCAATCATTTAAATCTATAAAGCAAGTAAGTAGAACTAAATGGTCACATTAAGGACACATACCTGAAAATAATTTTTATCATTTGACATTCATTCACTCTACTTTGGCCAGCCATCACACTAGATGGTTAGTACAAAGCAGTGAACTAATAGACACAATTCTAAACTTCATACAGCATACACACTGCTATTAGAAGTGAATCTAGGGGCTGGGGATTTAGCTCAGCGGCATAAGCGCCTGCCTTGCAAGCAGGCAGTCGTGAGTTCGATCCCTGGTACCGATAAAAATGAGAAAGACAAAAAAAAAAAAAAAAAAAAAAGAAGTGAATCTAAATAAATATAATTATCAACTATATTAAGAACAAAAGGAGATATACCATGAGAAAATTGTAACTTTATTCCACATTCACCATTTTTTCAAATTATACTGATCCTAATTCATCTGAAGGAGTAGCATATATTCATATTCCATAGCAGCTCCTGACTTGGTAAGAACTGGAGAATGTGGGGGAGGGGGATCTGAAAGTAGCACCAGGGATTTAGCTCAATGGCGTAAGTATCTGTCTGGCAAGCATGAGGTTGTGAGTTTGATTCCAGGTACCAAACAAACAAAAAAAAAAATTGAAAATAGACATGGGTGGGTTTCAACAATAAAATGTTGTTTATCTATCAAGTTGCTGTCAATTCCAAAATCCACAGATCTGGAGAAGAAGGAAATGCGCAAACCCCAGATCTTACATGTAAACAGTGGGCTACCTAGTGGTGATCCTCTGATATTTTCTATCATCAACACCCTTTTTATTTTAAAACACTTATTGCATCATCTGTCAATTACTTGACCATTAGCTTTTATCTACCTTCCCCAGAAGAATAAAAGCTCCATTAACATACATGTCAATCTTGCTCTCCATTTTAACCTCAATATCTCCTTTCTCATATGTACAAACTAAATAAGCAATGAATAACTGACCAAAAACACTGATTCAAAAAATTAAGAAGTGGACCTCAACTTAGGCTTCTTTGAACTAAGATGTAAGAGTTGACTATAATTTAGAGCACTCACACATCAAGAATTACCCCTACAAAAGCTCTAAGAATGAACAAATCAGTTTAAAAAACTAAACAAGATGATGAGCACACCTAGACTAAAGTAAGTGTACAATAAAATACAGCACAATGGAGTTGTAGATGAAGGCAAGATACCTGATCATAAAAGACTTCAAAACCAAAGTAACATTGCTTCTACAAGTATGAACAGAGAGAAAAAGTTGAAAAGTTATTTGAATCTATGCATGCAAGAGATTTTAATAAGCATATCTCTTTATTGTCTGCATTTTTAATGATGTGATATATGGAGCCTTGCTGAAATGTGGGACTGCCCCTCTTAAGATGAGCTAATTCCTGCTTAGCAAACAAACCACACTGAAGCATGCCTTTCAGATGGAAAGCCCATACTCCCAATTTACACTCCAAAGTTACTATGCTCTTGCCTTAATTACCCCAGAGCCAGTATCAAGCAAGTAGTGACAACACTCAGGCCCAGAGTTCACTGAAATTACTGTGTTCCAATTAGCCGATCTCTGTGAGCACTGCTTTAGCCTGTCTCACCTGTCCCTTCCCATAAACGTCACAATAAAGGCTCTATCCCGTATTCTCCCCTTGCTAGCTCTGCCTCCTGACTGATCTAGTGCTTCCCTGAATAGTCCTCAGTGTTATGCCCTGCCTCTTTCTTTTGAAATCTGTTGATTTTAACAATATATCTGTTTTATTTTTATTACATTATTTTAATTTTTCCCAAGCCAGTTATCTTTTCATCTGTTGATCTCATTGTAATTGATAATAACAAAATATAACTTTAAAAGAGAGAATTAATTGGTGAATTAAATTAGAATGAGTGTAGTAGAAACATCAAAGAAAACAATTTCAAGAGATGTTTTTAAGATACATTTCACATAACTAGGTAATGATATAAACTGGCAAGTTGGGAATCAGTATACAGGTTTTCTTCTATGCTTGACCCACCATTTCACCTTTTAATTATACACTAGATATACATGAAATGTTAATGCCTTTATTTTTTATCACCTTAAAAAGACCCAGGAATTGTAACTCACTCCTTGTCTACCTGCACTGACACTATGGATTCCAACTGATTTACTCATGTATCATTTTTAAATAATTTAATCAAAAAGCATTCACTGAACAACAGACATGGCCTAGTGGCAGACATTACAGAGAAAAATGGGGAGACTTTAATAACAAAGAAGAAGAGCAGTTCAGGTAATAAGAAACTACAAAAGACACTTACTCAAAGAAATCATACAATCAACTTAGCATTTAAAGATTATCCTGTACAGGATTGTCAGTCCAAAATTAACACACTTCATCCTAGTCAACAAGTGAGCTAGCTAACTGTACAATTTAGATGTTCCAACATCTGTTTCTTCACCACCACACTGAAAATTAAAATGTGGGAATGAAGAGTAAGAGTTTCATCTAAAACACTAGGCTTAGTAAGTACATATTTATGTATATATACATATTCATTTAAAACATTAACTCAGTGATATATATATATATATTCATTTGAAACATTAACTCAGTGATTGTGTACTATAATTTTAAGCAATGTACAAAATTTTAATTCACCGATGCCTAAGAATCTTGACTAATCCACTAAACAGACTTACAAATTGCATCAGAACCCAATTCTCTACGCATGTTAGAAGTGCTAAATACAGGATCACCTATGCCTCTAAAAATTCCACTGGGTAGAAGGACAAAGAAGACACACGTGAAATTACAGACTACACCCAGAAATAGAAGCCTTGATAAGTAGGGGGACAATAATGAGCCATGTTCCATGTCTTCCTCCTGTGCATCCCCACTCAATCTCCAAGTCAATCTCCTGTCCCATTACTTACTTCCTTAACACTTTCAGCATCTTATCTTGTGTCTTTCCTTTTCCATTTTTTTCCTTGTTTTTGGCCCCCTCTCATATCATGCCTTAAGTTCACGTCCTTTCCTCTCTTATCTCCACTTCACAGTTCTTTGTCCTAACAGTCTTCCTCTAGTATCACAACTTAAAATACAGGAGTAAACAGAGAAGTAAGAAAAACAAAGGAAAAAAACTATAAAGCATTGCAAGCTCTTCTTATATATTTGCACTGTTTGGGCAAGGTGTGTGGTAAGGCCTTCAGTGGTACAACCATCCAGCTAGGATACCTAGCATGTGTGAAGCTTTGAATTGAGTACCCAGTACACCTCAAAACTGGAGGAGAGAGGGCAATTTTCTCTTTACATAACCACCACTCAAATTATAAATTATATGGACTAAATTACTAAGTTTAAGCTTCTTACTGAAATTCAAAAGTTCTATTCACAATAGCCAAAATACTGAGTATCCTCAGCATCCATCAACAGACAAACAGATATGCAAACATAGCACAAGTACACAATAGAGTATTATTCAGACATCAAAAAAGAAAGCTGTAGGCGGGGAGGATTTAGCTCAGCGGCATAAGCGCCTGCCTTGCAAGCAGGCAGTCGTGAGTTCGATCCCTGGTACCGATAAAAAGGAAAAAGACTAAAAAAAAAAAAAAAAAGAAAAGAAAAAAGAAAGCTGTACCATTTATGGTAACATGGAATAACCCAGAGGAAATCATATTAAGTGAAATAAGACGGACACATAAAGACAAAAACCACATGATCTTACTCATATTTGGAATCTTAAAAGGTGACCTCATAGATCTGGTGATTACCAAGGACTGGGGCAGTTGAGGGTGCAGAAGGAAAGAAGGGAGATGATGGTCAAAGACCAGAAAATTGCAGCTGGATAGGAAAAACAAGTCCAAGATATGTACTGTACAATATGATGACTACAGTTAACAAAATTAACAATACATTTTTTTCCTTCTGTCCTGAAGACAGAACCTGTGGCATCTAGGACTAACTTACACCCCTGGTCCACTTTCATTTCTGAGAAAAGAGCTTGCACATTGGCCTTAAACTTTTAATCCTCCTGCCTCAGTCTCTCAAATAGATTGGATTAAGGATTGTGCCTCTCTGCCTAAAAATACTGTATTCCTTAAAAATGCTAAGAGACTCAATGGCTAGGTGCTCTCACCACTAAAACAATGAATATGTGAAGTACTGCATATGTTAATTAGCAAGATTTAGTCATTACATAACATACATATACTTCAAAACATATTGTACACAATGTATAAATTTTATCTGTCAATTTAAAAATCAAGTAAATTAATTAAATTAAAAATAAAGTACAACCTATAACGAAACTAACCCAATTGAGAAAGTATTCAATTGAACTGATGGTATATGCTGACCTTTGCTCTTCCTTCTTAAAAAAAGTATAAGGCCAAATAGGTTACAGATGGTAATTAAAACTTAGAAATTATTTAAAAATAAATTTGTGTTCATTTTTACTGCTAAAATGGTGACATTTTAATTTGAATTTCATTTAGTTAGTATACTGCTAAAAGTATATTTTGAAAGTTCTTTCTTGAGCACGTGATACTGAAAATACTAACGGTTAATTTTCATTATATAATTTTTATCAACATCCTCTTACTAGCAATTCACAACTTTATGTGAATAATATAAATAGTGTCTTTATAAAGGCAATGAATATTCTATAAAACCCAAATTGTTTCCAACATAACTCTCAATCACAGCAGTTCAATTTTTGGCTCACCCAAAATCAGAAAAACATATACATAAATTGATACACATTGCCAAATTTTATCACTAACCCACCAAATGTGTTTCAAACTTTTTTGCCCTCAGAAAGAGCTCAAATGGAATCTAATCCAGAAACCTGAGCAAATAGAACAGACAGGGAGAGGCTGTTAAAGAAGAAGCCAGGGAATATCAGTGACACTTCAAACGGGCCAGTTGGAAATGATCTTTTCCTACTACATATCTCATCTCATCTCTCCCCTTGGTCCAAGCGAATCTAACTTGTCCACTGTGGCTCAGCAAGATTACGGTATCCCTGGAGAAGCTTAGCTAGAATCCCCAACAGTGGACAAATCCTCATATTTTCCCCCATCACAGCTCTACAGGCCTGCCAATTCATAGGTCTCTTCCATTCCACCGGAAGCCCCTTCAATATCTAGGACTAGTTCATCCTTATACCTCTCGTGAGCAGCATGTGAGGGTTTACCCTCAAGTGCTGGTACTCAAAACACAATTATTGAATGAGTTAATAAGTGAATAATCACATGCCCTGATTCATAACAACATGTTTCTCTACATTTAGATAGGAGATGTTCCTTCTCTAGAGTGTAAGCATCAGACAGGAAAAGCCTGTGTCACATTAATTAACTTTACCTGGCTGGAAGCACTCACAAGTACTGCGGCCAGCTCTTGTCCCCACTCCTAGGAATGCCTTGAGAGTGCTTCACCCTCAAGTGTTGGGATCTTGCTTTTATGTTTATCAACACACATTTGCTGAACATAATATGATTATATTCCTTGTGGGAAGCTGGTACATTACACATCTTAATTTTTTTCCTTCCTCTTGTCTTCCTTTCTCCCTCCACCTCTAATTCCCCTTCTCATTGGCAAAGGATCTATCTTACTATTTCATACTTTTATTTTGCTCTTTAAATTATTCATACTTAGGTTTCTCATAAGAGAAATCATACAGTAGTTATGCCTGTGGATCTAATTTATTTACTTAATATTATGGTGTCAAGGTGCATCCGTTTTCTTATAAATGACTCAAATTTATCATTCTTTATGGCTGATACGTATATATCACATTTTCTTTATCCATTTACCTGTTGACAAGCATAAAAGCTGTTTCCAAAATTTAGTTACTGCACTGTGGGAGATCCTTTTATAGACACTGTTATAGCCATTCTTCAACAATGGCCCTGGAGTCAGCACATAAAACTCTCATCTCAGTCACTAACAAGTTTCATAATCTTAGATAATTCATGTAAGAATCTCTGGGTTTCCTTTTCTGTACATATACCCACAAAAACAGCTTTCACATATACATTAGCCCCACAAGCCTTCTTATTCAAATAAAATTTATTGGGTTACATAAAAAAGAAAACAGCGATGAAGTTTCTCATTTTGCTCAATTCTTCATTGTTTTAGGACAAAACCTCTAAAAGCAACTCTTTAGAAAAGAGTACAATCTGAATGACTTGATTTACAAGTCTAGTCTATCAGCAACATTCTATGACTTACACATTCAGATATTTATGAAATGCTTAAGTGCTACGCACTGAAGATTCTGTGCAATAAAGCAGATGGGCTCCCTCAAGTACTTATACCAAAATACAGTATTTATCACATGCTTAATATTCACTAAAACAAATTTGTATATAAGATCAAAATATTCCCTCTGGTCTCTTCATATAGTGTAAAAAGCAAGACAATTTGCCAAATATTCAAAACCCTGAATATATTAAAAAGATATTTAAATTCCAGAAATATGTATCTCATATCTCATTTTCTGACCAAAATTTCAGTGTCTTTTGTGTAGAAATTTTCAGTTTTTATAGATTTCTTACGCATTTTTTTATATTCATATTTCAATAACACATCTATATTAATACTAGTCACTGGTAGCTAACATGTAAGGGTCACACGTGCCATTTCTTACGTTCACTTGCTCCTAGCATCTATTAGAATCATTTTAAGCATCTAATTTTGATCCTTCACTTCTATCTGAATTTGAGGATAAAATCTAAAATGCATGAATCATTTTTTGTTAGTATTTGTTTCATCATTTATTTCATTTAACAAATATTTGAGAAGTATCCAATACTCACAAGGTATTCTGCTATACAGTGGCAGAAAAGTTCTAGAATTCTATCCATATTTTCTTCCCATTATATTCTTTACTTTTCCTTAAAAGTTTAAAGTGTGTAATAAGAATAATGCACTGATTTCACCAGGGTTTCATCAACCTATAATGTTCTCTTTATTCCTTAAACATACTGTATGGATTCAGTCTTTCAACCAAAAGTACAAAATTAAGCATTTTAATGGTTCTAAGAAATAAAAATATGATCCCTTCACTCAAGGAATAAAGTGAAGGAAAAGTAATCAAAAGTATCAGAAAAAGGAATAAAGATGATTCTTGATTTTGTTGCTGAAAAACTCAATGGAGAGCTAGGTATATACCTCAGTGACAAGAGTTTGTTCTCATTAAGTTACCAAATTAATACCAAGGTCTGGGAAACCTTTGCAAAATTATATATTTTGATTTGAGGAATAACAGATTTATTAAATTTTCTATTACTATTTGAATGTCAAAGTATGCAACTTTTTGTAGAAAATATGTAACATAATCTAAATATCCCAAGCAAAAATGAACAGATCCAGTGAAGTTAGTCTAAAATTACGCAGTCACTTCATTAGCCAAAGAGCTTGGAATAAGTAGATGCTCTTTAATTTACTAGGGTTACATTCAAAACAACCCTGTAAGTTGAAAATATCCTATATAAGTCAAAAGAAACATTTAACACAGCTAGCCTCCAGATAGCACAGCTTAGTGACCCAGCACAATACAAAGCATCAGTTGTTTCTCCTTGTAATTATGTGACTGACAAGGAGCTGCAGCTCACCATTGCTGCCCAGTATTAAAGACATGGGGTCTCATACCTGTAATCCCAGCAGTTGGGAGGCTGAGGCAGGAGGGGTGCCACCAGTCTGAGGCAGCCAGCCTGGACTACATAGTGAGCTTAAGGCCAGCTTGGACTATATAATAAGACCTTATCTCATCCCCTCAAAAAAAGAAAAGAAAAGAAGGCATTGTTCATTCAGAAAATGATACAAATTCAAACCATAGCGAAAGCATATTGATTTTGCACCATTGTAAAGTCAAAAATCCTAGACAAACCCTAAGGCAATCGTAAATCTGGGACTATTTGTACAGGTTTTATGTATCATCAGGAGAGAAAATATCTCATGGATTTCACAATGCATCCAGCTTCCCTTAAACCACCAACTCTAACTCACCATGTGAGATAAATCTAGCAACGACATTAGCCAAGGGTTTCTGAGAAAACTCTTTTCTGCTTTTCACTTTCTTCTTACTGTCTGGAATATAGACACATTGGGCTTGACGTTATAACATAAAGGAATGTGTAATAAAGAAAATGTTCAGTTTTCCTATTTTTGGACAGACTTACAGATGAAAATCATTTTCTATTGCTGTGTGCTATTTAACATTCTATACTATATGTGTTTTTAATAATTAAAATAGTCACATTTTATGTAAATTCATTTAACGAACATTTACTCAAAATGTGTGCTATGTGCCAGAATCTAGAAACACCACAAGAACTAACATTGTGCTTTCCTTCTTCTGGCTGGTAGTCTAGTTGAGAGAACAAACACGTACAAATAGTCCAATGTGTTAAGTGACAGTACTGACTGATGCATGAGCTGATGTGATATGAAACAAGAAGGAAAAGATAATTTGGTGAAGAAATGGAGAGATGAGAGAATAAAGAGACCTACAGATAAAATTGATAAGCAGGTCACTGGTATGTGCTGTTCTGACAATATCTGCAAAGAGCTATACAGCCAAAAGAAAACCCTACAAAACTATCCTCACCTTTCCTAAAAGATTAGTCTCACCATGGGAAGTCAGGAAAAAAAAAATTTAATAGATGACAAAAATGCATTTTATTATACATTAATAAAATTTATCAAAATGGAAACAAAGAAATAAAACCTCTTCATACCTGTCACATTGTTGCATTATGGAAATTTCTTTGATGATTTCCTGAAGATCTGATTCAACAGGTACTTGTTTAATTGCAACAACTTGGCCAGATTCTTTGTGTATTGCTTTAAAGACACTTCCATAAGACCTAAAAAAAAAAAGTGTTATTATTTTCTCATCAAACATATTAAAGTCTACTACAAATTTTTATACTTAGTATTTTCCAGCTTTTCAAACTATTTACATCGCAAAAAAAGGTATGAAACAAGTTAAGAATAAGACTGTTTCAAATACAAAGTCTTCAAATTAATATGAGTTGCTATATTATGAAGAAAAAAAGACTCATGACTTATTAATTCATATGCAGCATTAAGAAGATATAAATGAGATTTGGAGACCTGCTGAGCTCCCGATAGGTGGGCTGGCCCACACTACCAGCCTAGCCCAGCCTGTTTAGCTGCCACGCCTGGCCATAGGTCTGCAGAGGAGGAGCTGGGCAGATCTGGGGTGCCCTCACTGGCCTCTCTGCATGTCTGGAGGACTCTGGATATCTGCGCCCAGACTGCTGGAGTTCCCTCAGGCTTCCAGGTGCAGTGAAGGAGAGAGGTGGGTTTGAGGCTTCCACATCAGCCTCCCCATTCCCGGCTTCACTTGGAGACCTGCTGAGCTCCCCATAGGTGGGCTGGCCCACACTACCAGCCTAGCCCAGCCTGTTTAGCTGCCGCGCCTGGCCATAGGCCTGCAGAGGAGGAGCTGGGCAGATCTGGGGTGCCCTCACTGGCCTCTCTGCGTGTCTGGAGGACTCTGGATATCTGCACCCAGACTGCTGGAGTTCCCTCAGGCTTCCAGGTGCAGTGAAGGGGAGAGGTGGGTTTGAGGCTTCCACATCAGCCTCCCCATTCCGGCTTCATTTGGAGACCTGCTGAGCTCCCAATAAGTGGGCTGGCCCACACTACCAGCCTAGCCCAGCCTGTTTAGCTGCCGCGCCTGGCCATTGGTCTGCAGAGGAGGAGCTGGGCAGATTTGGGGTGCCTGCATCGGCCTCTCCATGTGTCTGGAGGACAGTGGATATCTCTGCAACCAGGGAGGGTCCACAGGTTCCTGAAGCACTGCGGCCTGTGGTGAGTACCCTAACCCGGCTGTGATTGAAGAACTGTGGAGCTTCCAAGGGGCAGGTGGGCACACAGTGTCCCTGAGGCCCAGCTTGTCTGGAACTGCGGAGTTCTGAGCAGGCAGAGGAGGGCCACTGGTTCTGTAGGCCTAATGGCTTGGGGTAGCGTGGCGCCAGAGTCTCAGTAGCTCCAAACATAGAAGGGGATTTTCAACAGATCCTGAGGAAGCTTTCAAATAACACTTGAAACACAGAAATATAGGAAAATGACAAAACGAAAGACCAAATTACAACCTCAAACCTCCAGCCCATCTCAAGAAACCCTAGGAGCGATGTATACAGAAGAAAATATATCCCATCCACCTCATATATCGGACACAATAGCCACTGAAATTGACAAGCAAATCCAGGAAGCTTTAAAGAAATTCAAACTCGAAATAATCTCCCAGATAAAAGAAGAAATGATAAAAGAAATAAAAGAGATTCTAAATATATCTAAAGAAAACACAGATAAAAAATTGGAGGAACTAAACAAAAAGATAGAATCCCTAGACGAGCAATATAAGAAACAAACAGAATACATAATGCAGATGCACAGAGATATACAGGAAATAAAAAACTCCACTGAAAGGTGTAAAAACCGCCTTAATGAAAGTGAAGATAGAATTTCAGACCTTGAAGACAGGATTGCAGCTAGTGAACAGGAAAGGAAAGATCTTTTGAAAATAACAAGGAACCAGGAAACAACAATTCAACAACTGCAAGACGATGCAAAGAAGAATAACATAAGAATGATAGGGATTAATGAAAGAGAGGGAGACAACATGAAGGATGTCAGGAGGATATTTAGAGAAGTAATAGCTGAAAATTTCCCAAGCATGAGATCAGAAACTGACATCAGGATCAGTGAAGCATATAGAACTCCAAACAGTCATAACCAAAATAAAACTACACCCAGACATATAATAATCACCATCCCAGAAATCCAACACAAGAATAGATTATTAAAAGCTGTCAGAGAGAAAAGACAGATCACTTATAAAGGAAAACCTATCAGAATCACAGCAGACTTCTCAGCACAAACGATAAAGTCAAGAAGAGCATGGAGTGAAGTATTCCAGATCCTAAAGCAAAATGATTTCCAACCAAGACTGATATATCCTGCAAAACTATCATTCAAAATAGATGGTGCAATACGATACTTCCATGACAAAGAACAGCTGAAGAACTTCATGAACACCAAACCAACCCTGCAAAAAATATTGAAAGACAGTTTAGATACACAAAGGAAAAAACCACTAAGCAAAGCAAATAATTAAACAGAACCGAAAGATAAAGATGCAACAGCAGAGAGATAACATTCCTACAATTAACCAGCATTTAACAGTAATAACCATTAATGTAAATGGTCTCAATGCACCAATCAAAAGAAACAGACTAGCAGAATGGATCAAGAAACAAAATCCAACCATATGCTGTTTACAGGAAACCCATCTAACCCAGAAAGATACTCACAGACTGAAAGTCAAAGGATGGAAAACAATTCTTCATGCAGCAGGAATCCAAAAAAAGGCAGGAGTAGCCATTCTGTTTGCAGACAATGTGAACTTTAAACCAACAATGACCATAAAGGACAAAGAAGGTCACTACATACTCGTAAGGGGAAAACTCCAAGAGGAAGAGATAACTATCTTAAATATATACGCACCAAACTCCAGAGCACCCAGTTATATAAAACAATTATTAACAGAAATGAAAACTCAAATTATCAGTAACACAATTGTAACAGGAGACCTTAATACACCACTGACACCAAGGGACAGATCAACCAGACAGAAAATGAGCAAAGAAATAACAGAACTGAATCACACCTGTGAACAAATGGGTTTGATAGACATATACAGAATGTTCCACCCAACAACATCAGAATATACATTCTTCTCAGCAGTACATGGATCATTTTCTAAAATAGACCATATATTAGCTCACAGAACATATTTAAGCAAATGCAAAAGAGTTGAAATCATCCCTTGCATATTATCGGATCATAGCGCTCTGAAATTAGAAATTAATGACAAAGGATACTGCAAAAATTCCGCAAACACATGGAAACTAAATAACACACTCTTGAGTAATCAGTGGGTCACAGAAGAAATTAAAGAAGAAATTAAACAATACCTAAAAGAAAATGAAAATGCAGATACAACTTACCGGAATCTGTGGGATGCAATGAAAGCCGTTCTGAGAGGAAAATTTATTGCACTGAGTTCCCACATCAGGAAAACAGAACGAATACAAATAAATAACTTGATGTTACACCTCAAACAGCTAGAAAAAGAAGAGCAAGTCAAGCCCAAAGCCAAAAGAAGAGAGGAAATTATAAAAATCAGAGCAGAAATCAATGCAATAGAGACTAAGAAAACAATCCAAAGAATCAACGAATCAAAGAGTTGGTTCTTTGAAAGAATAAATAAAATCGATAAGCCCCTAGCCAACCTTATTAAAAAAAGGAAAGAAAAAGCTCAAATTCATGCAATAAGAAATGAAAAAGGAGAAATCACTACAGACCCAATAGAAATACAGAGGATCATCAACACCTATTTCGAAAACCTCTACTCTCAAAAGTTTGATAACACAGAAGAAATAGACAGATTCTTAGAAGCATATGAAGTACCAAAGCTAGATCAAGAGGATATAAAACTGTTGAATAACCCAAACTCTGCTAATGAAATTGAGAATGTAATTGGGTCCTTGCCCACCAAGAAGAGCCCAGGCCCAGATGGATTCACTGCAGAATTCTACAAGAAATATAAAGAAGACCTAATGCCGACACTCCTCAAACTATTCAATGAAATTGAAAGGGAAGCAATCCTTCCTAAGTCATTCCTGGAGGCAAATATTACTCTAATACCAAAACCTGAGAAAGACCCAACTATAAAAGAGAACTATAGACCGATCTCCATAATGAACACAGATGCAAAAATCCTCAATAAAATATTGGCAAATAGGATCCAGCAAATCATCAAGAAGATTATACACCATGACCAAGTGGGATTCATCCCAGGAATGCAAGGATGGTTCAACATACGCAAATCAATAAATGTAATCCACCATATCAATAAAGCCAAAAATAAGAATCACATGGTCATCTCTATAGATGCAGAAAAAGCCTTCGATAAGGTCCAACACTTATTCATGATAAGAACTTTACAGAAAATTGGAATAAATGGTCTTTACCTCAATATAATAAAGGCCATTTATGACAAACCAACAGCCAGCATCATACTAAATGGCCAAAAATTGAAAGCCTTTACTTTAAAATCGGGTACAAGACAAGGATGTCCTTTATCACCACTCCTATTTAATATAGTACTGGAAGTACTAGCCAGAGCAATTAGGCAAGAAAGAGAAATAAAAGGGGTAAAGATAGGAAAAGAAGAAGTTAAATTATCATTGTTTGCAGATGACATGATACTCTACATAGAAGACCCCCTAAACTCCATTGAAATACTCTTAGATACAATAAATAAATTCAGTAATGTGGCTGGATACAAAATCAATACTCAGAAATCAATAGCATTCCTATACACGAACAACAAAATTACAGAGAGGGAAATAAGAGAAACTGGACTATTCACATTAGCAAGCAAAAAAATGAAATATTTAGGAATTACTCTTACGAAAGAAGTGAAAGACTTATACAGTGAAAATTATAATACACTGAAAAAGGAAATTGAAGATGATCTCAGAAAATGGAAAGACATCCCTTGCTCATGGATAGGAAGAACAAACATTGTGAAAATGGCCATTCTCCCAAAACTGTTATACAGATTCAATGCAATCCCAATCGAAATACCATCAACATACCTTATAGATCTAGAGAAATCACTCCTAAATTTCATCTGGAACCAGAAGAGACCTAGAATTGCAAAGGCAATTCTAAGCAGCAAAGACAAAGCAGGAGGCATCACAATCCCTGACTTGAAGTTATACTACAAAGCAACAGTAGTAAAATCAACATGGTATTGGAATCAAAA